CTACTGTCCTCGTACCAAAACCGAAGTGAGCTGAACCCTCATCGATCCTCCAGTAACGAATACCGAAATACCGAGAAAAGACGCATATTTTCGTTACAAAGTAGCGAATACCGAAATACCGAGAAAAGACGCATATTTTCGTTACAAAGTAGCGAATACCGAAAAGCACCCGTTTCGGTACAGAAGTAACGAATACCGAAAAGTACCCGTTTCGGTACAAAGTAACGAATACCGAAAAGTACCCGTTTCGGTACAGAAGTAACAAATACCGAAAAGTACCCATTTCGGTACAGAAGTAACGAATACCAAAAAGTACTGATTTCGGTACTGAAGTAACGGGTACTTGGATGTACCGATTTTCAGTACCCGTTACAAAATACCCGGTTCGGTAGTACCGACTCATCACTACTCGCAACTGACTCTGAACCCATTACAAATCTCTTGTTATCGTCTATCATTTGATGTCTATTTATGTTTTAATATTTGGCTGTTTAGATTTTACTCCTGAGATTCGTAATGTAGCGATAGAGGTTATTTTAAATCTAGACAGATATCCTCGGATAGTTTTATTGATAAAAAATATTTGGTAGGCAAACTTTTGTCCATTTATTTTCCACATGCATCCATCTGCTTTAGATATGTGCGGCTGCATATTGTTTTTATCTCCAAATATGATAATTTTTCCTTTGTTTCGTAATTTTTGAACATCATTGTAGTTAATGAAAGAGGAAAACTTTCCGATATTGTTCGATAGCTCTGCGCTATCTTGAGGGCAGATGGTTTTGGGGAAAAATCAGTAAAGATACCTCAGGATATCCTGACTAATCTTTATTTAACCATACCAGAGAAGTAAGCTACGAATATAACATTTCATGAGCATCATGTGTCCTGTTACGAGTAATTTTTCTTGCTTTGTTTCATTGTTTCCCTGAAAAACTTTCATTCTGTTAAAATCAGCCACAAATTTACATTTAAATAAAAAACTTTCACGATATGCTTCTTTTGCATTTATACTACAGTTTCATACATTTAACTTCTGGATGAGAATTTATCGGTCATCGCCGCTTTCTGGGATATGTTATTAATCCAAAGGGACAATTTGCCCTGAAGGACTATTATTTTCGTTTCGGCATTTTGCGTTGGTTCAATATAAATGTCCGATTCACTTTTCAAATTGTTGCCCCCAAATATTATCGCCCTGTATTATATTTGAAGAAATTAAATAATAAAGAATCTGCATAAACATATGTATGTTTCAGCATTGTGATAAAACAACGGTATCTAGAGCCATCCAATTTTGAATAGCATACGTTTCCACCCGAATATGGGCATCTGGAAGCCTAAATTTGGAATTTGGTTTATTACCTAGTTCATATTTTGTAAAACTTTAAAGAATTTTTGATTAACAAACTCAGCGATTTAAAAGCGAGCAATGGCAAAAAAAACCTTCTTATCTCCAGCGCGCCGAACTGTGTATCGGAAATTCTAAAGATAGGCTCATTTTAAAATTATTTTGCGATACTGCTGTTGAACTGAATTTTACGGTTTAAGTGCGAAGAACATGATATTTAATAAATAAAGATAACACACAAATGCCAAAAACACGCCCCTTTGGACATCATTTAAAATCTGAAAGGTTTCATATTTTTTTAGTCCAAAGAGATTTCAGTCCCGAAGGACTATTGCTTTCGTTTTGGCATTTTGCGTCGGACTCATAAACGTCGGTTCACTTTTCAAACTGTTGCCACAAAATGTTAGAGTCCTGCATTATATTTGAAGAAATTAAATAATGAAAAATCTGCATAAATGATTGTCTATTTCTCGCATTGTGATAAAACAATGGTACATAGAGCTATCGAATTTTGAATGACGAAATCCTACTGCGAATATGGGCATCTGAAAATCCCAAATTTGGAATTTGTTTTATTATAGATTTTGTATTTTGTAAAACTTTAACGAATTTTTGATTTACAAAAACTCAATGCTTTAAAAAAGCGAGAAATGGCAACGTTATATAGAAAAAAAAAAACTTTTATCTCCAGCTCGCGAGACTGTGTATATCGGAATTCTAAAGATATGCTTAATTTAACATTATTTTGCGATATTGCTCTTGAACTGAATTTTTATGGTTTAAGTGCAAGAACATGATATTTAATAAATAAAGGTAACACTCAAAACGTTAAAAAAACGCCTCTTTGGACTTAATTTAAAATCTGAAAAATTTCAGATTTTTTTTTTTATTCCAAAGGGATTTGAGTCCCGAAGGACTAGTACTTTCGTTTCGGCGTTTTGCATCGGACTCCTATAAATGTCGGTTCACTTTTCAAACTGTTGCCACAAAATGTTAGAGTCCTGCATTATATTTGAAGAAATTAAATAATGAAAAATCTGCATAAATGTATGTATATTTCTCGCATTGTGATAAAACAACGGTATCTGGAGCCATTCAATTTTGAATGACATAATCCTACTGCGAATACGGGCATCTGAAATCCCAAATTTGAAATTTGGAATTTGTTTTATTATCGATTTTCATATTTTGTAAAACTTGAAACGAATTTTTGAGTAAGAAACTCAACGATTTAAAAGCGAGCAATGGCAACACTCTACGGAAGGGAAAAAAACCTTCTTATCTCCAGCGCGTCGAACTGTGTATCGGAAATTCTAAAGATAGGCTCATTTAAAAATTATTTTGCGATATTGCTATTGAACTAAATTTTATGAATGTTTCAGATTTTAAATTATGTCCAAAGGGGCGTTTTTTAACATTTTGTGTGTTACCTTTCTTTATTAAATATCATGTTCCTCGCACTTAAACCATAAGATCCAGTGCAACAGCAATATCGCAAAATAGTTTTAAAACGAGCATATCTTTAGAATTTCCGATACAGAGACTCACGCGCTGGAGATAAAAATGTTTTTTCTGCACAACGTTGCCACTGCTCGCTTTGAAATCCTTGAGTTTGTTAATCAAAAATTCGTCAAAGTTTTTAAAAAATAGGAAATCGATCATAAAAAACAAATTTCAAATTTGGTCTTCCACATGCTCATATTCGTTGGAGGATTACGTTATTCAAAATTCGATGACTCTATGTACCGTTTTTTTATCACAATACGAGAAATATACATACATTTATGCAGATTTTCATTATTTAATTTCTTCAAATATAATGCAGGACTCTAAAACATTTTGTGGCAACAGTTTGAAAAGTGAACCGACATTTATGAGTCCGACGCAAAATGCCAAAACGAAACTAATAGTCCTTCGGGATTCAAATCCCTTTGGACTTTGAAAAAAAAAAAAAAAAAAAAAAAAAAAAAAAAAAAAAAAAAAAAAAAAAAAAAACGCCGCTTTGGGCGTAATTTAAAATCTGAAACATTTCAGAATTTTTTTTTTTTTTTATCTTCTACTTTCTTTTTTTTTTTTTTTGTTATTTCTTTATTTTGATGAGAAGTATCATAAAAATAGAAGAAGGGTAAAGAAATATGTATGCTATTTTCTCTTTTCTTATCGCTGGCTTTGGTGCTGTGATTAGAAAGTACGTCCGGCTAGCTATCGGAAGATCTGGATTTCGTGTCTCGGCAAAGGCATCACACATTTCTTGTGTTTCCAGCTTCGATAAACCTAATGACTTTACAAACAGTAATCAAAAAATTTAAAATGAAACACATTTATTTAAAGTAAATGCTAGCTTGAAAGTTGAGAATAATAATACTTTCAAGAAAATCCTTTCTATGCCAAAAATAATAAAAGTACTTAAGCGATGGTATTATACTTAAAACGGTGAATAAAATTCTTTAATATACATATTAATAATTTACATTCACAATGGAAGAAGAAGAGAAGTTTATAGTTTTTAAAGAGTACTTAATCATTCCCTTTAAACTTAAGAAAGTAAATTTAGTCACTAGATAGAAAAACCAATGATAAAAAAGTTGAAATCACGTAGTATATGTTTGTACCCTAGGCATGTTATGTTTTGCAATTTGAGATATGAGTAGATACTGTCTTGTTGAGATGATGGGTAATATTATATCAAGTAACAGTGAAAAGAAACACCCACTTGGAAACTGTAAGAAAAGGATTAGAATTCAGTTACTCGATAGTACACTATATGTGAAGTGGTGCTAGTGGGTTGCCTAAGTATTGCTACAGAGCATATACAAATGACCTTCTTAATGATACACTTGATGGCAAGGAGTTCAATACTAGAGGCAAAAGACGTGGTGCATAAATGACTATGTTACCGTGAAAGACCGAAATTGAAGAATGTCGACTTTCACCGGAGAATGTTAACATTCACCAAATACGTTGGTGAAAGATCGAATATTGCACGGTCCGAATATTCTTGTATATTCGGACCCTCACCGGTGTATGTCGACAATCACAGATATGCTCTGGTGTAAGTCGAAAAGAAAGGTCATAAAGTGCCATAATAGTTTAAGTTGTTGCAATAAATAAGATTTGATTCACATAATTTAGTAAGTTTTTATTACTGTTATTTTTTCTCATTTAGAACGTACTGTATAATTAAGTAAGTTTTTAACTTCTATTATTTTCCTTTCTCATTTTGAATGTATTGTGTGTTTTTGGTTCTCATGTTCTTAAGTTCTTATTTCAAGTCTCAAGTGCATTTATTCGCGACTGAATTACGGAGAAGAAAATATAATATTGTTATATGTTCAACATTCACCATTAGTACATGGTGAATGTCGACATTGACCGGTGTAAGTCAGAAATAAGAGTATTTGGAAAATATTTCGGAGGACATACACCAAGAGAGTATGTGAATGTTGACATTCACCGGTGAAAGTCGACATTTTTCAGATTTCGGTGTTTCACCGTAACAACTACACATAGTTTTATCTTGAGAAATTCAGGAATGACTGAAAAGCTGACAATAAGCGTGGCGAAGACTATAAAAATGATAATGTGTTTTGATTTAAGTTTTTCGTGCATATTTTATTTGTAAAAATATATTAAAATTTCTCAATGATTCTTATTCGTATATAAATTTATAGTTACCAGTTTTAATTAGGAATGAATAAATACATTGCTAGCGAATTTTCGCAGAATGAGGTGCCAAAATTGTTGGTATATGAAACAATGAAATATATTTTTTTAAAGTTTTGGCACTATTTTTCTAGCGGGAATACACGAAAGGGATTTAAACAACCAGTTGTTTTAACAGAAGTATTCACTACCTTGAGTACTTTATATCTTACCAACCTGCTTCTACTATAAAAAAATCGAAAACAAAGTAAATTTCTTGATATAAATAAACATTTCTTACAGTAAAGTAATTTTACGGATAAAAGATATTTTACAGCTTTTAATATATGAATGTCGAATTTGAATGTTCTTTAAGAGCCTTGAATAAAGCATGGTTAGTGTACTTGTATATGTATTCTAATATTGTGTTAAATGTATGTTCTGGTTTATAGTAATCTTGAATGCTCGCATTACTTGACGGCGAAGCTGCTAAGGGCATGTCAGTCTTGTTTTCGGAATCGTATTCACTGTTATTCGTTTGTTCCACCTGCTTACTACCCAGAACAGGTTCTCTTTCTTCGCTATTGTGATCATAGCTTGTTTGTAATTCAAATCCGTGATCTGATTCATCTGAATATTCATCAAAAAAGTCTGACAAACTATAGACGTCCTCATATTCGTCTGTGGAATACGCTTTTGAAATGTCTTCAAAATCTTCGTCTTCGCAATCAGAACTTTGTGAATATTCTACCAATTGTGTTTCTTTGGGCAACTCGGACTGAGTTGGTGGATTTTCATCATCTTTCTTATAAAAAGCTTCACTCTCATGCGAACTTTCGTGTCTATCATTTTTTACACCTTCTTGAGACGCTGTATTTGATGGGGTACCAAATTTCTCTTGCTTTGTGGTGCCATTTTCAACAAATGTTTTATATATGCCATCAGATACACCATCGTTTTCAGGTAAAACTGAGTTTGATGCTTCTTCATTAGAGTTTCTGAAATTATCAAGTTTATCGCTAGCCTCTGTAGTACTCAATAAGGATTTCCTATTGTTGTCTTTCAATGGGTTATCTTCTGCATGGTGCGAACTAGCCGATTCTGTAGTAGTTGTAATTACACTTGAGAATTCCGGGTTGTTCTCTTCTGTAAATTGATTACTATTTTCATGACCAGGATAAACTGAATTTACTGGCGTTTCACCTCTATTGGCTTCTTGTTCTGGGTCACTTGCTGTAGAACTTTTATGCTGCTTATTTTTTTCCAGGTCGCTTGGAGAAAATGTAATAGTTTCTTTATCCACCTCAGAAGCAGCATCATTTGGATTTTCTTCTCGTTTCACGTCATCTAGAAAAGGCGTACTGTTTTCTTTAGCCACAGGAGAAGTAACATCATTTGAATTTTCATCCTTGTTTGCATCATTTGAATTTTCATCCTTGCTTGCATCAACTGAAGAGGTTGTACTAGTTTTTTTATCCAGCTGAAGAGTAGCATCATCTGGATTTCTATCTCCTTGTACATCATTTGGAGAGGATGTAGTTGTTTGTGTATCTAAATGAGAATTACTATCATTTGGATTTTCATTCTTTTCTATGTCATTTGGAGAAGATGCAGTACCTTCTTTATCCAAATAATAATGATCATCATTTGGATTTTCCTTGGTTTTTATATCACTTGGAGAGGACAGAATAATTTCTTTAGTCACATGAGAAGGACTATCATTTGGATTTCCATCTTCTTTTACAGTGTCTACAGAGGATGCAGTAATTGATTTATTCGATTCAGGAGGAGCTTCATTTGGACTTCTTTCCTTTTTCATACCATCTGGAGAAGATGTGAAAGATTCTTTGTCAAACTGTGCAGGAACATCATTTGGACTTTCTTCTTTTTTCGTTCCTTCTGGAGAGGACGTCAAAGATTCTTTATCAAACTGAGCAGGAGCATCATTTGGATTTTCTTTTTTTTTCTTATCTTCTGGAGAGGATGTGAAAGATTCTTTTGCATACTGAGAAGAAGCATCATTTGGATTTTCGTTATACGCTTGAGTAATAGTTTCAGAATCGTTTATAGTTGGACTAGGATCATCAGAACCTTGCTGATCATTAGGTTGCAAATCTTTATGTGGAGTTGGTTCTAAAGTGTTTGGGGCCAATGGGAATGAAACTATTTCTTTTTCTTTCTCTGGTTTATTATTGGCTTCAGAATATAATTTATTATTGTCTTTCGCATTTCCTGAGTGACCAATTTTATGTTGTACAAAAGAGTTATCTTTTGCTTCGTAAGGTTCTTTCTCATTAGGATTCTGTTCTTTTGAAGAAATCATTTCCCTTGCATATGCTGCCGAGGTTTCGTCTGTTTTTTCGGGTTTCACGGGAATAATTGGTTCAATAATTATGAAATTACTATCACGATTATGCGTAGCATATGTATTCTGGAAATTATCAACATACTCACGATCATCATCAAAAAAGTCATCGGAACTAGCTTCATCATCAAAAGGCGCATCTCCATTATTGCCACTTTTAAAATTCCTATAGTCATTACCTTCTCTGATAGCTTGCTTGGATTCTATGTCTGAGTTTTCCCCTGGTTTATTACATTTGGTACCATTAACTTCTGTACAACCAGACCTTTTCCTTGTATTTCGAAGTTTTCTATATCTTTTGGAAGGACGTTTGATGTAAGAATTAGATATCTTTTTGTTTAGTTCATCAAATGCGTCTGTTTCGTCGGGGTTCTCTAAGGCTTTTGTCAGAGCAGATTTTTCTTCCTCGTCCATGTTGTACACAAAGGAGAGGAGGTACTTGAAAAGTTTAGAAACGTTACGAAAGGATAATTTATCTTGCTTGCTTTCCATTCCCTGATTAGTAACATCTCTCTGATTTTCTGCACCTGTATCTTCATGGGACCAAGCAGTTTTAGGAACGTTTCTTCCTCTTGAAGGATTATCAGAATGGGCAAATGCATTAGTATCATCGGAGAAGAAAAAATCTTTGCTATTTTTATTATCTTTGGGGTTTTGTATTGTGTCAGAGCCACCAACTTTTGTCTCTTGTTCGTCAGACCGCACTTCTTGTATTAACCAAACTGAAACGGGGAAAAAATAAAGTAATCAGTACAATTATACCAAATGTTACAAGCAAAATGCAAAAATGGCAGAAAATAAACTAAAGAAAGACCTCGGATTAGTAAATAACAATTGAATACCTTCAACAATTTCAGTTACTTTGAATGCGATAAAAGTTCATAGAAAAGCATTTCATAATATAATAATAACCTAAACGACATAAAAATAAGAATAAATTATAAATAAGAATATTATATTTAAGAAAATCATTAATAATTCTTTGATAGAGTCGATGCTTAACATAAGAAAGTTGAAGGAAAATAAAAATTTGCTTCTAATAGCTAAATTTTATTGTGACTGAAACTGACTCAACAATTGTAAAATTTTATAGTTTTTTATGAGTGAATTATATTGAAATTATATCATGAACAGATTTGAGGAATTTTATTTTTTTTACTTGACTGGGAGAAACTTATACCTTTTCGTCATATTGCATGTAGTAAATTAAATACTTACAACTTGGGGATTTTTTCTCGGCATAATGCTTGTGACGGACTTTGAGCGGAAAAAGAAAATCTAAAGAAGTAAAAAATTTCTTATCATAAAATGGTCTGTCAAGAATAGACTCAGTGACATTCGTGAAATATCGTTTTATATAAATTAACTGTAATCATGCAATGGAACTGTTCGCTCTGGATTATGTCGTATTTGTTTTATAGAATCGTTTGGAAGTGATAGTTCTCTCTGCAACCAAAGCTCATTTTATTCTGTTTCCAGTATACTTTCATGTGTAAATATGTAAATAAAGTCTCAAAATTCAATTTATTGAGATACTTTACTGTCCACAGCTACCAGGAAGTTTTAGGAATACAAAAATATATAGAGATATAAGACGAATTGGTAAATAAACACTTGCTACTTTTAAATGCGAATTTCTATAGGTTCAACTTAAATTTAATATGGGTATTTAAAAAATATGTATAAATGCGATCATTTTGCATTCACTAACTCAAGATTCGTAAGGACTGAAAATAATATGTATGCTCGAAATTACTGTTATCTATCCGTACTTCAATCTTATCTTCTGAAGGGCCAAATGTGATTTCGAATACCGCCTTTTGATTTAACAAAATAGGAGATAAAGCGCATTCTCTTCTTTTACAGAATATTTAGGTGTACGAGAAAAACTAATGAATTCATCGCTTCTGAGAAAAACAGACGATAAGAAGTACCTCTAAATACAGAATGCAGACTCATTTCAACCTTGTAATATCAAGAATTTGACTTAATATAAGAAGATGATATCTTATAAAAACATAAAAATGGCTTTATATAACACAATATTTTAACATTATTCCAACCAAAAATTTTATTTTATTTTCAAAACTAAAAATTTCTTACATCAGAATTTTTTATGACCGAAGTTGACTATGTAGTATTGATACATTCTAATCAGTAAAGCAAAGCAGAAATTAATGGAAATTTAGATATAAAAGTCCTGTCCAAAATTCAAGCAATATAAAATATTTTATAAGAGACTGAGTGACTAATTGTCTCTTAAATGACTGTTTGCAGATTCACAGTGTAATTTTAAGAAATGGATCAAATAAATTAGGTTTCTAAATTATGACAGTTTTAGCCAAGATATATATATTATTTGATTTGGCTTTCTAAAAGTTTTAGCTTGGCTAAAACTGTCGTGATTTGATTTATCAAAGCCGAGAAACATGATAAATGAATTATGCTTTTGACGGGAACCGAGCCACAAAACTTCCATTTGTTAGCTTGAAGTACTACTCCCTTACACATATGGTGGAATGTAATGGCTTCGTAAAGCGCTTTTAAGTAAAAATATGCAAAACTTAAATTTTTATATGAATTCTACGAAATAAAATATAAAATAAAGAAATACTTTTTACACATAATTTAGTCAAACAAAGAGTCTTCATCTTCATATGATCGAAATTACACGAGAGAATATCAATTACAATTTTTATTGGACACTATATATGTAAATACAGGTAGTTCCATAATTTACTAAGTTAATTGGGACAAAATTATAGCTTGTAAATCAACTCGTAAAGTAAGAATTATTTTCCCATGAGAATGATGTAATATTGTAGACACTTGTTCTAAACAAACAAACAAACAAAAAACCTTTAATTTCAGTCAAGAAAATAAAGAAATGGAAAAATACATTTATTAAAACGATTCACCTTTCTATAAACCCTTAGTTTGACAAAGAAATAAAAGAAAAAATATGGTAAATGAAAATAAAATTGATTTTTTTTAAATTTAAATTTTAAACAAATGGAGAATTTTGTCTCTTTAAAAAAGTTTCGGCATGGTTTACTTCGGTGGTTTTGGTAATTAATTTTTAAATCTACAGCAACCTTTCAGTTTCGTTCACAATTTGGACAAAAAAAAAAAAAAAAAAAAAAAAAAAAAAAAAAAAAAAAAAAAAAAAAAAAAAGCTTCTTCAAGCCCTTTATTTTAAATCTGGCAGTAGCGATTCCTCCTTCCGTTTTCACAAGAGACCATTTATTTCAAGCAGTTCTTCATTTGAAAATTAACTATTATGTGTTTTAAAAAGATCAGTTATGCTACTAGTAGTAGCATCGATGTTTAAGTGTTCAGTAGTTTGCCTAATATTTTCAGTTTTCACACTGAATTATTTCTTCTTGTTTTTCTGAGCACGCTTCATTATTTTTGTTACGTAATGCACTCACTAGATGGCGGGAGCTGCCCGCAAGATTCTTTTATGAACAGAATTTTGTATATGGCATCGTTTGCCGCGTACGTTTATATGTCGGTCTTTGCTTGTAGTTAATTTTTAGTCCAAAGGGGCAATTTCCTAGAAAGACTATTAATTTCGTTTTGGCATTTTGCGACGATTCATGATAAGCGCTGTTTCACTTTTCGAATTGTTGCTACGAAATACTATCGCCCTGTATTATATTTAAAGAAATTAAATAATGAAGAATCTGCATGAATGTATGTATGTTTCTCGCACTGTGATAAAACAAAGGTATACCTAGATCCATCAAAATTTGAATAACGCAATCTGCCATAGAATATGGGCATGTGGAAGCCGTAATTTGAATTTGTAATTTGTTTCATTATCGATTTCATATTTTGTAATACTGCCAACGAATTTTTGATTAACAAACTGAACGATTTCAAAGCGAGCAATGGTAACACTGCACGAAAAAAAAAAAAAAAAAAAAAAAAACTCCAACGCTCGATACTCTGTATCGGAAATTCTAAAGATATGCTCATTTTAAAATTATTTTGCGATATTGCTGTTGAACCGAATTTTATGGTTTAAGTGCGAAGAACACGATATTTAATAAATACATTAAATTAATAATTAGACTAATTTAAAATGTGAAACCTTTCAGATTTTTTTTAAATTTGTATTTTTTTCTGTTTTTGATAGTACCCTAATGGGAAATTTAGGTTTTGATCCAAGATGTATGTTAAGCGTGTAGAGACATTAGGATTCTTTGAAAGCAGGAGATCTGAAAAATGAGCAGCGCCCTCGCCGGGAATCAAACCACGGACCTCTGTGGTGCCGAGCGTGCTGACCACTACACTACGAAGCCATGCTAAGGAAGGCGGGAGAAATGCCTTATACTCTCCCTCTTTTAAAGGGCGACGGGAGTTTTAGGGGACCCAGTCGCCAAATCCTGGGTGTGGAGAATCATCATCCACCACCCTTTTAATTCGGTACCACTGTAGAGACATTAAGTTATTTCGAAGCAGGAGTCATGAAAAATGTCTCGCCGGGACTTGAACCACGGGCCTCTCGAATACTCGCTGAGCGTGCAGACCACTACACTAGGAAGGCATGCTAAGAAAGCGGGAGAAATACCTAATATAGTCCCCCCTTTTAAAGGGCGACTGTGGATTAGGGGACCCAATCGCCAAATCCTGGAGGTGAAGAGTCATCAGTCACCACCTTTTAGTTCGGACGCCACTGTAGAGACCTTATGATTTGCAGGAAAGATGAAACATGAGCAACGCCTTCGCCAGCAATCGAACCACAGACTTCTGGAATACGCGCTTAGCGTGCTGACCACTACACTACGAAGGCATGCTAAGAAGGCGGGAGAAATACCTTATATATTCCCCCCCTTTTAATGGGCGACTGAAGATTAGGGGACCCAATCGCCAAATCCGGGGGTGGAGAATCATCATCACTACCCTTTTAGTTCGGGCGCCACTGTAGAGACATTAGGTATTTTTGATGCTGAGAGAGATGAAAAATGAGCAATGCTCTCGCAGGGACTCAAAACACGGACCTCTCGAGTAAGCGTCGAGTGTGCTGACCACTACACCACGAAGGCACGCTAAGAAGGTGGGAGAAATACCTTATAAGCAAATTATAATAAGTGCGAAGAAAAGTTGTTATTCGTCAAAAAGCATGGACACTATCCAGGTAGATGAAATGTATTCTTTTTTTTTCTTCTCTAAATATTGAATGTATATTGCAAAGAGATACTATGATACTGGATTCACTGTGTCTAAGTATTTTTAAGGTTTATCTCTCTCTCTATATATAGATATATATTAAGGGCCTGTTTAGAATAACCTTTGGATATTCTCGACGTAGTTATAGATTTCGTTTTCGATTTGATTAAAATTTTGATTGCATTCAAAATATTAAATCTCTTCCAAAATTGTTTGAAGGAAGAGCTTTTTCTAGTATCCGTGACTTTGATAAGCGATTCCAATTGTATAATAGGCTTTGAACGCTACTATACCGCCTTGATCCACAAGGTGAAGTAGTTTTCGAATGTGGGGTTAAAAATAAAATCTTAACATTTGGATGACAATTTTGTAAAGAAGGACGTATCCAGAATTAAAGATGAGGCTTTTTTGAAAATTATTCAACATTTCTTCGTGTTCTAACAATGTTTAGATACACCATATTAGATACCATATATCCCATATTAGGATATTAGGGATAGCTAATTACACTAAACGTGAAAAAACATTTTTTAAAATTTAATCGCCA